ACAGCCCTGGAGTAGTGCTTGGGTGAGCAGGAGGCCCACACAATGAAGTTGGCTTCATAATCATGGCTCTTCCTAGTTGTTTGTTTTGCACTAACATGTTGGCAGAAATATTGAATATATCATGGATGCCTAAAAGAGCAAACAAATCTGTCTTGGAAGAGTGGCCAGAACAGAGCTCTGTAGTGGTGAGAGTGGTGAAACGTCATCTCACATACTTTGGACATGATATGGAGAGGGTGAAGGACGTTGTGCTTAGAAATGTGGAAGGTGTGTGAGAGAGGAAGACTCTGAGTGAGTGAGGCAGGCACAGTGACCGTAAGGTGAGTGTCAGCACAGGGTAGAGGATGCAGACCGGCAGGATTGTGTTCTGTTAACGTGTCAGGTTGGAGTCAGAGCCGATGCTCTAGCACCCAGCAGAAACAGTAATGAAAACATACAATAGAAAATTGACAGTTTTTTAAAAAAATTTTATTTTTTTTTAAATGCTTCATTAAGTAATACTAAAAATTTACTTTAGGCATCATGTCAGCTTAGTTAATTTATCTAATACTAAGAAATTCTAGATGTACTAATTTCCCAGGTTATAAATTGACCCTGTTCAGCATTAACACTTGTAAAAAATTTAGTAAAAGCATTTCTAAAATATATCCTGTTTTTTATGGTAATGCTGAAGTGCTGAGCCCGTCTCCTTGGTAATGTTGAGCTGTAGTCATCAGAACTGCTGAACTCTGCCCTTTGGAGCCCTAGCCTCCCTGCTCTCCCTTCTCCGGTCCATAGGCTTGAACCATCATACTTATCCTGATGCTAAGGGGACTGGTTTTAGGTGCTGTCGTGTCAACTCTGACTCACGGAAACTCTGCGTACAACAGAACGAAGCACTGCCATACTTACATGATTGCTGTGTTTGAATCCTTGATGGCAACTCTTTTGTGGAGCCTTTTCAGTGACCCTCTACTAAGTTTGCTGTTTTTCTCCAGGGACTAGTTTTTCCTAATGGTATGTCTGAAGCATCTACGATGAAGTCTTACCCTCCTTGCTTCTACAAAGGATGGTGGCTGCACTTGTTTCGAGGCAGATTTGTTTATTCTGCTGGCAGTCCACATTGAAGTTTATATTCTTTGCCAATACTATAATCTGATCACATCAGTTCTTCTCCAGTCTTCTCTATTTGTTGTCCAGCTTTCGTGTGCATATGAGGAGATTTTAAACACCGTGCCTTGAATCAAGCTCACCTCAGTCCTCAAAGTGACCTCTTTACTCTTTGGTAGCCAATTTTCCCAATGAAATGTACCTTTCGATTTCTTGATTGCTGCTTCTAAGAGCATTGATTGGATCCAAAGAAAATAAATTCCTAAGCAAAGTTTTTCTAAGGTAGCAGATGCACTAAATTCTGTGAGAGACACAGTAGTACTGTGCTGAAATACTTACCAGGTAGTACTTTAAGTATATTTTTTATACATTCCACATGTCCAGAGAAAACTTGACATTCTAAAGATGAATGAGAAGCGTCTCCATCGTGAAAATTATTTTCCCGTAAGTTGCAGGAAATGTTTGGTTATTGTAATAGATACAGATCTCTCATCTTTTCAAATTCTTAAACTTTCTTCTGACAAATGAGCAGATACTGTCTGTGTTACCCATGGCTCTTAGCAGTTTCCTTTGGTCTCTAGTAAGTCTTAACAGTATTTGATTTAGTGTTCATTACATTTGAGGCTTAGCAATTTCAGTCTGTAACCATATACTTTTCAGACAGATGTAGTTATGTCTACAGTTGTCAGATTGAGTTTTAAAATTCTAAGTTTGCATTGAAATTTATCACTGTATATTTAGTACTACACATTACATGGGAATTTTTGCCATAACGTGTATGCACACCATTCCCTCTGAATTGTGGTGTTGGAGAAGAGTACCCCATGAACGGCTGCCAAAAGAACAAACACTCTGTCTTTGAGGAAGTGGAATCAGGATGCTCCTTGGAAGCAAGGATGCTAAATCTCCATCTCACATACTTCTGACATGTTATCAAGTGTCATTAGTCTTAGGAAAAGGATATGCTGGGAAATATGGAGGGTCAAGAAAAGAAAGGAAGAGCCCCAAGGAGATGAATTGACATGGTGACTGTAACAGTGAACTGGAGCATGGCTAAAACTGAGGAGGGCTTCAGATAAGCTTTTAGTCTGTTGATAAGGTCACTACGAGTTGTAGTCAACTCCACAGCACCCAAAATAAACATCTTTCCATAACCAAGAAGCTTTTGCTGGCAGAGTTAGTTATGGTTATTGGGTTGCTAACCAAAAAGCTGGCAGTTCGAATCTACCAGCCTTTCTATGATAGAATGATGGACAGTCTCGTTCTGTAAGGGTTTATAGCTTTGGAGGATGAAAGGAGGGTTACTGTGAGCCAGAACCAGCTGGACAGCACTAGTGTCTTTATGTAGATTCAGACAGGCTGGATGACCAGGAAGTATGATCGTGTTTGAAGACTACATCATTAAGGTGTTGATTATGAAAAAGTATAGACCTTTGTCTTCCTTTACTTAATAGTAAACTGATTACAGCTCTCATGTCTAGAATATGTCTTACATTCTTTAGTTACAGCTATGCTTCCAGATGCTTATAATGTCTTAAATCCTATCTTATACTGAAATTTATAGTGACTTAGAAAGTCTTATATAGTGTAATTTTCTGAAGTCAGATTTCTGAAGTTTTCATCAGCACATTTTCAGAAGAGCACTTTATATGCATAGACACATTTAATAATAACATCTATAATGTAACTGCTTATTTATAGGAGGATATGCTTATTTATAACTCACTTATGTGACCTAGTCTCATATTGTAGAGAAATGGGCACATAGATGCCCTGTGAAGAATTCCAGTTCCAGTTTAGGTAGAATGATTGCCGAAGTCATGGTAGTAAGTGACGTATTATTGGAAATAAAGTAAGCTTTTTCCTTTTTTATAGGGATAAGTTTAGTTTTGAGGAGTGTGAATCAATACATATTTGGCTGTGAGCCAATTCTTCTCTCTAACTGTAGCACATACGTAATAAACACACTTGCTTCTTAAGTGCCTGATGAATCTGCAGTGATTAATTCTTATTATTTTGCTGCAAAGTCTCATGACCCTCCGTGATGATTCGATCAGCCACTTAGAGTTTATGCATATTCATATCTCTCTGCTCTTGCTGCAGTCGTTCAAGTCTCCTTTCCTGACTGGTGTGTGCTTGGTGCAGTAATTGAGCTGCAGTAGATTGATTACTCTGGGGAGCTGTAAGGCCTTTAAAGGTGAAAACATATCAGTCCTGTTAATTAGGAAACAAAAGCTCTACTGGCAGTTCAGCAGTCAAATGTTCCCAGAATAGAAAAAAAATGAAGGGTAGGATTTGTTTCTCTCCATGAACCTCTTTACATTTTAAAATTTGAATTTGAAAAAAAAATTGAATTTGGTCTGTAACAGTGTTACAGGGCAGCTGCAAAGAATAGGAACTTTCACAGAATGCTAAATGTAGAGAATCTATATCATAATATTGATTAATAGTGTCATTTGTGAGCTCTCAACTGTGTGTGATAACTCAGATATAGATCTGAGTTTACATACTTACTGACACTTTATATGACATCGAAATACATGTAATTATATGCTTATATATTATATGAGTGTATAAAATGTTTTAATTTTGGCATTTAAAGGCTTATATTGGTCTACAGCATTCTAACATTAATCTCTTTATCAAATGTGCTTTGATCTTTTCAATCTTAAACCTACATTAAATAATGCAGTAACATGGCAAAAAAGGAGCCTGTATGCAACAGTGTCCTCTCAAAGTAAGGTAGTGTCAGCCTGGGAGTCTTTGCCATTTACAGAGGTGTCATAGTTTTCCCATGTATGCACTTTCTATATTGTGATTTTCATATTCATAGCATTATATTAATGTAATTAATTTGTCTCTATATATTCTTTTGACCCTAAGTTTGTGGGTAAGCTGAGATGATTTGCTAAGCAACTATCTTGCAAAGGAATTGGACAGTTTACAAATAAAGTGTCTGTGACCTACTGAAGAGATGAATCAGTTTGATGGGAGGAGTAGGCTAATCTCACAGGTTGAGGGGACTTTGCTAACATCAGGAAGAGTCAGGAGCAGAGTGCATCTTTTGGACCTAGGGACACTGTACTGAGAACCTCTTAGAACAAGTACACAGAGAACCAGACACGAGAGGCGGTTTAAGACAGGTGGTCGCAGTCTGACTGCCAAAGCAGGGGACAGGCACAAGATGGCTGCGGCAAGCTTGTGGGCCCATGGAGCAAGAGAGCTGAGTGCCTTAGGGTAGGACATCTACTGGAGATGGGTGCCCTTGGCCACTTGTCAGTGGCACTTAAGAGATGTCAGACTGGTTCAAGCAGAGGTTGAGAGGAAGCGTGTAAAGTAAGAGAAAGGCCTGCTGTTCCAGCCACAAGCAAGCCTGCTTCTATTAGCTAGGCACACTAATAGAAAGCAGAATAGTCCTGTTTAGAATGTGTACTGACTGAACTGTCTCCCTTCTCTGTTACCTCTTAGTTGCTCCTTTTGCCATATTGCAGCCTCTTACTTCCTAAATAAGCCACCTATGGTCTGTGAACAGAAAGTGCTGTGGGAAGGGTAGGTGGTGTCAAAATTGGTTAAAAGATTGAAAGTAGAGGTATGTTTAACCTTCACTTCATAGGAATCCGCTTTATAATGATGAAAATTCTCTTTTCAAGAATTCACATGGCTCATGATGCTACTATGGGAGCTCTGATGGCCTTGTGGTAAGAAATTGCCCTCCCGACTCAAAGGAAGGCAGTTCAGATCTCCACAGGAGAAAGGTAGATAGTCTCTTGATTTACTGCCCCTGAAAACTCACTGGTGGGTCAGCTATGAGTCCATTCCAACTCAGTGGTACATAACAATAGTGAATTTTTGTGTTTGTGTATGTATGGTTTTAAATCATTTTAACCAGATTTCTCCTTTATGTATTTCAGGCATTTATAAATACAGCAAAAGAAATTTATGAAAAAATCCAAGAAGGCGTTTTTGACATAAACAATGAGGTACATTTAAGTATTGCCGGCTTATGTTAAATTTGAGTTTTAATTAAAAACTCGGATTTACAATTTCACTTTACTTAAGTGAAATATTTCAGCCACATAACTGAAAAGTTGGTATAGGTAATATGCTGTTGTTGTTGTTGTTTGATGCCGTCGAGTCGTAGACGACTCATAGTGACCCTATGAACGAACAGCCGGAGCACTGTTCCTACATAGAGTTTCCGGAGGCAAGCCATTTCGGAAGTGGATGCCGCTCCTGCTTCCAGATAGGTAATGTAGTTAAAGATTTATATTAAAGTCACTTTATCTATGAAAATGGATTCAAGTAAGTCACCCTATCCATTTATTGCAAACAATGCATAATAATATAAATCCCCCAAAGAACGACAATCTATTTTGAACCATATGGCCGTATGGTGTCATCTGCTTTGGGGAATAATTTTCTCATGTGTAAAATGCATGCACTATGTTACTAATGCAAAATGCTCTTTCTGTGGTCTGCTACGAGAGCAGGAAATACCCCATTTGGAAATTATGCCCAATAAAGCAAGTTTTCAGGAGACCAAGTGAATGTGTATATAAAGTTACTTTGGTTTTGGTCAACATGATTGAAATAAAATGTAAACCTTTAAAGCTTAAAAATTACTTACCAAAAGCCATTGTTATCACATAAATACTCACTATGGATTTGTCCCTTTTTATTTCTGATTATTTAGAGGGATGGAGCATACTGTTTACTTTTACATAATTATTTTTACTGTGCTATGTTAAGGCTTATTACTTCCGAGAAAAAAATCCCTTCATCCCCACATTGTGGCTAGGGAACGCTGTGGTAGAAGAAGCTTTACTTGTGTCTTTCAATCTGTACATAAACAAAGCTCTCTGCCTTCCTAGTCTTTGCTAAAACAAACATCTGTTTTCTAAGATTTCTAGTAGGTACTTGACTTTCTCATTCCTCTTAATTTGGAGTAGTATAATGTCTAAATCCCGTTTCTTGGTCTATATGGCAGTAATTCTTGAGTTAATTTAAAGACGTCACCATTCAAAGGCTTATGCCAAACAGTAATTGGACCACTGTTTTGAAAAGTAGCATTCATTGTTTCTAGATTCATAGAGTAACTGTCTGCTTTACTGTGCCTGGTGCATATAGCTTTGATTGTAATATGCTGTCAAGAGCTAGCAGGCCGTGCTATTTATTTGGCCTAATGCCAGGTCTTACTCCTCAATTTCTCAAGAAATTGCTACCAGCCTAGAGGGCGCAGAACCAATGAGCCATAGGGCATGCCTTTTATTAAAGAGGAGTCGAAAGAGCAAAAAGAAACCACATCAGCTGCTGTCAATACTGAGCTAGTGCCAGAAACCCCAAGGCTACTACTGCTGCAGAGCAACTGCCAAGCACTATAAATCTGAGATTTACTGTGACGGAAAGTTTCCTTAAGAGCTTAATTTCTGAAGCTACTGTATTACTTTTCTCAAAGTGTTGTATTTTTAGTTAAAATCCACTTGAGGGAGTGAGGGTTAAGATAGAAGTCTGAGTTTGATGAATGAAAGACCTGCTCTGTGTGTGGGTTCTTGGCAAACTGCCATCTCTTTGGGGATCATAGAAATTATTGATGACACAGAACACTCATGTGCCCTTAGCCCATACAGCTGATGCAACAGGGAACAGCAGTGCCTTCTAGAGAAAGATTGGACATTGTTGTAGGCTTTGAATGTTTTTATCCTGCAAAGATTATTACAATAATTGCTTTAAACAATAACCACATTATGAGAATTCCCTGAAAAGCAATGCTGTACATTTTGTTTATGAAGCATGTGGTAATTGATAAAAATGTCTTTTCCTCCTCTACACTTTCTTTTTGGAGCTTGTTGTTGTTGTTATGATGTGTTGTCGAGTTACTTGAAACTCAGATGACGCCAGGTACAACAACCCTAAAACCTGCTCTATTCTGTGCCAGTCTTCTTGTCTCTTTATTTAAAGAAAAAGGTATTTTCAGAAGTATTTCTACAGTGTTTTTTGTTGAAAGGAAGGCACCATTCATTAAGAGATACTTCTTTTCTCAGTTGTTTGCGAAAATTGTGTTTTAATAGTAAAGTGAAAGTTTTAATTGCTGTGTTGTTGTAGCCAGTTCTTTTTATTGTCCTTTTCTCTTTCATTTCAGGCAAATGGCATTAAAATTGGCCCTCAGCATGCTGCTACTACTGCAACCCATGCAGGCAGTCAGGGAGGCCAGCAAGCTGGGGGTGGCTGCTGCTGAGTGTTTCTACCATCTCGCTGCCCACATGGGGCCTCCTCATGATCTCCTCACTTATTCTTTCACCCTCTCCTCCTTCTCAGCTGAGACATGAAACTATTTGAAATGGCTTTATGTCACAGAAGACTTTACTCCTTCATATTCTTATATAACTTTGAATAAATGGTTAATGTTCACTAAAAAAATTTTGGAGATTGTATTCATATCTATTTACATTTGATTTCTGGGTCAATTGATGTCATTATTTTTGTTAAATGTTGTCTTGTGCCCTTGACTACAAACTGAATTGTATTAAACACTACAGAGTCATCTTGAGTATTTTTAGCCAGTTTGTGTAGTTAGGTTTCCCAACACCTGTGGTTACCTACTGTTAAATATTATAGAACTGTCCTCAAAAAGTTTGTCAATTTTCAAGGCTATAAAGAAAAACAGAAGGTCTCTTAATTCTGTATTTATCATTTACTTTCTGTAGATATAGTTTAATAACCTGCTTGGGTGTAATTTACCAAGCTTGAATTCTTAAATGCATTTGCATAAACTCTATACTGTTTAGAGCTTAAAGCTACAAAAGCATTGTTAGGAATGGCTTGGACGCTGAATTTTAAACTTTTTGACATTGTTAACAAGCATGTTCATCTTGTCACTAGTCCAACAAAAATATGCTTAATGTATATTACTAAAGACTATGTATGTGTTAATTTGTTTTAATGCCAAAAGTTTGCTATTGGTCCACAATTTCCTTAAGACCTCTCAGAAAGGATTTGTTTGCCTTAATACTGCTGGTTAGAAACACAGTATACAGAGTAAAAATGGCAGAAATGAAGAATCTCTCTAGCTGAGCAACTCCAAGAATAGTGAATATCCACATTTAGATGGTACATTATGCAGACTTCAATCTTTCCTTAAACACAATAATGTTTTCTTTTCTTTTATCCACATGATTTCTAAGTATATTTTTCATGCAGGACAGTTTTTCAACCTTAATGTACAGTGACTGTGTAAAATTTTTTTCTTTCAGTGGCAACCTATAATCTTTAAAATATGGTAAGCATCTGTCTGTTTTGAAGGGGATATGACAGTACATCTATTGGAGGGAAAATCCTGTTAAAAAGTAGAAAAGCTTTAGTAATTTACTCATTGTGGTGGTTTTATCCTTTCCCCCTTTTTTTTCCTCCCTTAACCTATAATGAAATTGTTATAGCAGTGCAAAATAAAAACCTATGTATAAAAGTGTTCTTATTTTATTATGACCACCTCTTTTCTTCAAACATATTGTTCATACATTCAAGCATGTTAAAAAGGAATCAGTGTTCAACACCCTTTTTAAAAATATTACTAAAATGTAATAGAGCAGTTTACACTACCTATACTGAAATTCTTTTTCTTAGGGTGTGAACTACTCTTAACTCGTAAACCAACACACACACACACAACACAAAGTATTTCAACTGTAAAAGGCATAAAAATGTTCTAAGTGTAATGCTCCTTAGTTTCAGTTTACTCACTGGAGATTCATGACTATTTTATCAGAGCTTTAGTGTTGCTCTTGTGAGGAATGACCTAATGGATTTTTTGTTTACGTTTCTGGTTTTTTGCTTTATTTCTCCGACTCCCACAGAGTCAGGAAGAAAGTTGAAAGGAAATGTACTTTCATGAACATTTTTATTATAAACTCTTTTTCCTTAAAGAAGCTAATATAGAATTTACCTCTCTTTTCAAATAGTATTTACTAATGAGTAAAAATAGTCAAGACAACTCCATGAGACCTTTGAAAGGAGCTTCTGCGGCCAGCCGGACAGCTGACCTTTTCCAAATCTTGCAAGTTTTCTACCTTTGATGAAATTAATTCTTACCACTTTTTCTCTCACTCATTTTAGTAGAAAATACTTGAATTTATGTCAGGTTCCCATGTTACACAGTTCCCACTTTTTCTCATGTTTACCACTATATACCAGGAATGGGGAAATTCTTTGGAAATGTTATCTTTGTTGTTTGTTGTTATGTGCTGTCAAGTCGTTTGCGACTCATAGCGACCCTATGCACAACAGCCCTAAACCCTGCTCTATCCTGCACCAACCACACTGCCTCTGACACACCCATCCCGATTACCCCAGTCACCTTATCAATCCATCTAATAGAGGGTCTTCCCCTCCTGCGTTGTCCCTCCACCCTCCCAAGCATGATGTCCCTCTCCAAGGACCCGTCCCTCCTGGCAACATGTCCAAAGTATGTCAGATGAAGCCCCAGAATCCTTGCCTCCAAGGAGTAGCTTGGTTTAACCCTCTCCAAGATTAATTTGTTTGTTTTCCTGGCAGTACATTCAGTACTCTTCTCCAACACCACAGCTCAAAAGCATCAACTCTCCTTCTGTCCTCCCTAGTCATTGTCCAACTCTCTGATGCATAACAAGCGATTGCAAAGACCATGGTCTGTAGCAGGCACACCTTAGTCTCCAGAGAGACACCGTTGCTCCTGAGTACTTTACAGAGGTCCCTAACAGCAGACTTCCCCATCGCGATACGCTTTTTGATTTCCTGACTGCTGGTGCCAAGAGTGTTGACTGTGAAGCTGAGAAAACTGAAGCTGTGAACAATCTCAATCTCTTCACCATCCATCCTGACGCTGCCAATTGGTCCAGTGGTGAGAATCTTTGTCTTCTTGACATTGAGCCTCAGTCCATACTGAAGGCTGCAGTCCTTGACCCTTCGCAGCAAGTACATGAGGTCCTCCTCAGTTTCAGCAAGCAGGGTTGTGTCATCTGCATAACGCAGATTGTTAATAAATCTTCCACCAATCCTGATGCCACAATTCTCATAGAGCCCAGCCTCTCGGATAATCTGTTCTGCATACATGTTGAAAAAGTATGGAGACAGGATGCATCCCTGGTGTACACCCTTCCCAATTTTGAACCATGCAGTGTTACCCTGCTCTGTTCTGACTACTGCCTCTTGGTCCAAGTATAGGTTTCGCATTAGCACAATTAAATGTTCTGGGATTCCCATTCTTCTCAGAGTCAGCCACAGTTTGTTAGGATCCACACAGTCAAATGCCTTTGCATAATCAATGAAACACAGACATTCTTCTGGTATTCTCAGCTGTCAGCCAAGATCCATCTAACATCAGCAACAATATCCCTAATACCACGACCCCTTCTAAACCCAGCCTGGACTTCCGGTAGTTCTCTGCTGATGTGCTGTTCTAATCGTTTTTGGGTAATCTTCAGTAGAATCTTGCTTGCATGTGAAATCAATGACGCTGTTCTGTAGTTTCCACACTCAGTTGGGTCACCTTTCTTTGGAATGGGAACAAATATAGATCTCTTCCAGTCAGTTGGCCAATTGGTTGTTCTCCAGATTTCTTGGCACAACCTGGTGAGCACATCCAGGGCAACATCTGTTATCTGAAATAACTTCAATTGGTATACCATCTATTCCTGGGGTCTTATTTTTTTATATTTCCTTCGTCCCTCCTTCCCCGGCAGAGCATCTGATGGATTCGAACAGTGCGCCTCTGGATTGCAGTGCAGCTTCTTGCCACTAGGCCACCAGAGCTCCCCGCATGTTATCTTTAAACTATTAATATTTCTCTTCCATACCATTTCCCCTAATTCTACTATAAATCAAGAGTAATAAGAGACTGCTTGTAAGACACAATGAACCAGCAGATGTATGTAGTCTCAGAAAAGGTGAAATCCTCAAATACCTTGTTTACCATCCGATTAATTACCAGTTAATTAGACCCACTACCATCCAGTTGATTCAGACTCATGTTGACCTTGTAGGCTGAGTAGAACTGCCCCCTTGGGTTTCTAGGCCATAAACCTTTCAGAAGCAAACCATTGCTACAGATAAACTAGTGGGTTCAAACTACTGACCTTTGGGTTAGCAGGCAAGCTCTTAGAACCAAAACTGCTCCCACCACAGCAACCATAATCTCCAGTTTTAAATAATAGTAACACTAATGGGTGTCTCTGTATTTTCACTTTAACCTGGGTTTTCTAGAAGAACAAAAAATGTGTGTGTTGGAAGGGGGGTAGATCTGTATCTAGAGAGATTTCTTTTAAGGATATGGTTCACATGGTCATGAAGGCTGGCACATCCCAGAAATCACAGATCAGATGTCAGACCAGAGGCCTCTCCTGACTCAGATGATTGCAGAAGCTGCCAAACCCAAACTTGACACATCACTCAGGCTGCTGGCTCAGGTCCAAGGACCAGAGGTCAGGGGAGGATGATTCAGACTGTAACTCGAAATAGAGCTTCACATCATTGGATGTTGGCCACAATAAAGAGAAACTCCCTTTTGAAATCCCATTGTATCACACAATGGAGAATGACTACATAATCTCTCCCAGACCAGTGAGAGTCGTGCTGTAAATTGACATGATTGTCACAAACCACTGAAGAAAATATATTAATCCTTTAATTACCATTGAAATGCTTGTGGTTTCTGCTCTGTTCATTTTATTACTGTTACTGCCAGCAATGTAATACTGGCACTTGTAATTTAATCTTTAACACTTTGATCAATTTGTGTGAAACCTAGAAAATTAATTGCTAAAAAATATGCAAATCCTAATGTTTTGACATATAACTTTACAAAATTATCTTCTATAAAGACAGTTACGTATGAGTTAGGAAACCTGAAGAGCAGGTACTTTGAAAGAGTGCCTTACAGACAGAGTATTATATATAATATGCACACACACACACACACACATATATATACACACACACACATATATATATACACACACATATACACACACACACATATATATATACACACACACATATATATATACACACACATATATATATACACACACATATATATATATACACACACACATATATATATATATACATATATATTATGATACTCAAAACTATAATAGCATGCAGTTTGGTGTTAAGGATTTTTTTAAGCCTTTTAATAAGGTAAATAGTTCCAAAATGTGCCTAATCACTGCAAAAGGAAAGAATTTTATCTGCTTTGGACCAGCAGCACACTTCTCAGATTTGATTGAATGAGCTGAAATTATAAAAGAAAGAAAGAGTGAATAAGAATTCACTAAACAGGTAGACAAACGTCTGTCTTGTAGACTTTGGATAAATTTTGCAGATGTTTCTTAAAATGGAGCCTAAAAGAGGCTGCACAGTGGAGTGGACTTGGGAG